GATTGCCATGATGGGGAACACTTACCAGAAGATAGCGGAGACGAGGAACGAATGGCAGCGGCAGTGGGCCCGGATAGTGCTGGTGGTGGAGCGAGGAGTTCCACCGGCGCAGAGATTAAAGCAGCTGATGACGTACAGTCAGCCTATGGCCAATGGAAAGAGGGCTTTAGTCTTGAGAATCAATCAAAAGGTACTTTCAATGTTTTAGTATTAGTGCTCGACGGCTGTAATTCCTTTGTTAGTCAACCTCAAAAAAAGAGGAGGTTCCCAATTCGACTGTATATTTTTATAGGCATTATATCAGTCCTTTTGTTTGGTCGAACTGATTTTGACCATTATTTTTTTAATTTGAAAGCTGATGCTACTCATGTGGTCTCATTTAAATTTTATCAATATTTTACCAGCAGTTTCCGACTTATCCTTATTACTTAAATCATATTTAATTGACTTTGATTACATTGATAGCGTTCTCATTTCATTTTAAAATGGTCTGTTTTCTTTTTTGTATTATTATTATTGTGTTTTTCTTTTTCAATTTCAATCGGAATTAAATGCTGCTCTGTTAGCGCAATATCCTTAAAAAGGGTGCAAAGTATTTTAACCATTCCAGGACGAAGACAAGGAAGAGATGAAAGAGATTTTGGAAATGAAGAGAACTCACGAGCGCATTGTAGCTAAGAGGAAGCAACGGGAGGCGCTTAAGCCTGGCGAGATCCCGCCACCCGCCAGAGATTATCCTATTAGAAAATGAATCTTAGTTTGGAGATAATTATTTATTGTTTACAACAAAAAGTCAGTGGAACGAGGAGTGGCGGAGGAGTGATTTGGTTACCGGAGACCATATACATAATGAATGCTGCTACTTTGAGACATGAGACATGAGGCCATACTGGACATAGCATAAAGACTGCTACAAAAATTGGTACCTGCTTTCGAGATTTGAATACAAACATAGTCTCATCGCCACGTGTATACCGGACCTAATACACTTTAGATCATAATGAGTTCGTATCTCTATAAGATCCAAAAATCGCTTAAAATTGCTAAAACATGCTTAGCTTTTATTTTGTATTCGAATAAGGATTCCGTGAACGTGTGTCACAATATTTTAGAGCCTTTTTCATCTACGTAAAAGGAAAATTCCCTCACAGGCTTAATACATATGGATTATACATGGTTTATACATTAATACATATACAAAAAATACTAATATGAGTGTGTAAATGTCGGATCAATAAAATTGAGTCCGTTACGAATCCGATAAATCGTAATCGTGTCGTTGAATAAAAATGCCTTCGCGCTCACCACGGTCATTTATACAATGATTGACGGATTAAGTAATGACATAGAAGAGAAAATGTAAACAAATGTAATGTAAATGCGTCTTCTTATGGAATATTTCCATAAAATCTCGATTCTTTAGATTCCACTAACTTAGATTAACAATTTTTTTTTTCAATCAATTTGTATCAGGCTTTTTTTATATGTAAAATTGTACTATGTCAAAATTTTATTTGGGATTGTTTTGTAAAAAATAAATACAATCTTATTCTTCTTCCTAGCGTTGCCCCGGCCTAGTTTTTAATTATTTATTGCTTAGGTGGGTGGACGAGGTCGCAGCTCACCTGGTGTTAAGTGGTTATTGGAGCTCATAGATATCTACAACGTAAATTCCGCCGCCCACCTTGAGATATAAGTTCTAAGGTCTCAGTATAGTTACAGCGGCTGCCCCACCCTTCAAACCGAAACGCATTACTGCTTCACGGTAGAAATAGGTGGAGCGATGTTACCTATCCGCGCGAATTCACAAGAGGTCCTACCACCAGTAATTACACAAATTATAATTTTGCGGGTTTGATTTTTATTACACGATGTCATTCCTTCGCCGTGAAAGTCAATCGTGAACATTTGTTAAGTACGTATTTCATTAGAAAAATTGGTACCGGCCTGCGGATTCGAACACCGTTGCATCGCTAGATACAAATGCACCGGACGTCTTATCCTTTAAGCCACGACGACTAGTGCCTAGGTCAGCTTTTCTACTTAAGCTCCTCCACTTTGTTCGGTCTTCGGCATCCTTCTGGGTGAGGTTATTCTCCTCCGTATCCACCTTTACCATAATAAACACAATCTATTAAAATTATTTACCACTAGCGGTCCGCTCCGGCTTCGCTCGTGTCTTTAACAAGAAATTCAACGATATTGGATGTTTTATTTTTTTAAATAAAAGAACACTTCTTGCAGCATAACTATGCTGTCGCGACACTTTTTGTAAATAATAATGTGTTGTACAAAGTCAATAGTATCTACATTATTTTATTCTATCATCAATAGTTTTGGCAGGGCACGCGATGTAAAGAACATTTTAGGTATTTTTTTTACACCTTCGGTTACATTATTGGAGTTTTAGTAAAGATCCCTATTTTAAAAAAATAGATTAGCCTATGTCGCTCGGGAATAGTGTAGCTTCCAAACAGTGAAATAATTTTTCAAATCGGTTCAGTAGTTTCGGAGCCTATTCAATACAAACAAACAAATCTTTCCTCTTTATAATATTAGTATAGAAGTATAGATTAGTCCACGCTTTTGTGCATTCGAGACAATTTGACATTTGATAACGACAAAATTTACATGAATCGTGGGTTCTCTTAATGGCTTCGAGTGATATTTTTTTAATGTCACATTCATTAGTTATCTAACGAATGTTAGTTTCATAAGTGCGTTCAAATTCGTAAACGAGAGCGATTTTTTAGGATTTCACTTTATATTTAATGTCAAAGTTCGCGCTAAATATTTGCCGTAAGTATTTGCCGTAATATAACTTCGAGTATGTTTTTAGTTAATAAGCCGCTGATTTTATGTAAAACAAATATAACAGATGCATACGTAAGTAAATTGTTTTTATTATTTCAATTATCTATAATATTATTTATCTATCTAATGTGTAATTTAAAGTGGGTGGACAGATTTTATATATATTTTTTGTATGTTTGTTCGTATAGACGTCTATCCACAATCTGCCTACAAAGAATATTGCGGTATTTTGGTCATGTTGCACGTAGGGATACCAGCAATTTGGAACGCCTTGTGGTGACCGGTAAAATAGAGGGAAAAAGGCCTAGGGGTAGAGGTCCCAAACGATGGTCGGACCAAATAGCGGAGGAACGGGGGATACCTATCAGCGACGCACTCCACCGGGCTGCAGGGCGGGATCGATGGAGACAGTTGGTTGACGAAATCGGACGGAGTCACGATCCTCAGCAGTGAGGAACCGATCGAAGAAAGAGAGAGAGTTCGTATAGATTCCTGAGTGGTGCAGATTTCTTAGATCCGATGGGTAGCGCTGCTGTCGTATTCTAGATTTTTCTACGGCACTATAACAAGAGCTTAGACTGCTTTTTGATTGATTTTTAATGAAACAGACCTTGAATATGTTCGTAGTGTCCACTGCAACAAAGATTGTCACTTGTCACTGAAAAGGAACACCTTATACGAGTAAGGCAATTAAGAAAGAAACGGATCAGTAACAAATATTACATGTTCTTATTCAAACGAGGAGCACCTAGGGAGAAGTCGTCGTGGCCTAAAGGGTAAGACGTCCGGTGCATTCGTATCGAGCGATGCACCGGTGTTCGAATCCCGCTGGCGGGTACCAATTTTTCTAATGAAATACGTACTCAGAAAAAGTTCACGATTGACTTCCACGGTGAAGGAATAACATCGTGCAATAAAAATCAAACCCGCAAAATTATAATTTGCGTAATTACTGGTGGTAGGACCTCTTGTGAGTCCGCACGGGTAGGTACCACCGCCCTGCCTATTTCTGCCGTGAAGCAGTAATGCGTTTCGGTTTGAAGGGTGGGGCAGCCGTTGTGACTATACTGAGACCTTAGAACTATATCTCAAGGTGTGTGGCGCATTTACGTTGTAGATGTCTATGGGCTCCAGTAACCACTTAACACCAGGTGGGCTAGGAGCTCGTCCACACATCTAAGCAATAAAAAAAAAAAAGAATGACGTTGAAGGTTGGTGGGAAGACTTGACAGAGGAATGCAGGTTGATGAACTTGGACACGTGGCAAGCCAAAGTAAGTCCTTACGAATGTAGGCAGCGGCTTGGCTCTGACCCTGGCATTGCTGAAGTCCATGGGCGACGGTAACTACTCAGCATCAGATGGGCCGCATGCTCGTCTGCCTACAAGTGCAATAAAAAAAACAAAGACTAGTTTTCGTCGTAGTCTCACGGATGACATATTAAATTAAATATTACATGGAAAATAAGAAATTCACAGGGCGTTTAATTAGGTAAAATTTTGTAAATGCTTTCTGCTATGAGTGAACATCGCTTATGTTCTGCTGTCTGTATTTGGATACCTTTGCCAAACACACCCAACACATTACGGGCACTTCAAAATTCACATGAAACCATTCAAAACTCAGACGGATTAATTTCTTAATCCATTGACGATATCGATTGCAATTTAATGCAACTAGAGGTCAATAGTTTGTTTGTTCTAATGATACGCAAATATGTGTAAAGTACGAACGATTAATGGCGGTAATGGAATGGTTGCAGATTTAATAATGAGAATAAAAAAAAGGTTTGACGCATTATGAGGTTGATAAATATTGCAATTTCAATGATTATTGGCGCTAGATCTGGAAAAAACCCCTCAATTAAATTTCGATCTTAAAAATGCTCATCCAATATATTTTTTACGTTAAAACGAAATAAAAGATCTGTTTGCTGCAAAAGAAAATGTAATTTTTTTTCATTGACACAGAAAACCTTTGAAATGTTGGTTGCGAAGCGAGAACACTCAGAATTTGAATAGTGCCCGTGCGTGCCACATCAGTCCGATCCGAAAATGACAAAAACAACAAACAGTAATGACCTAGTGCCGTTCCGTTGAACTAGCACGTTTTCATTCACAGTTGCAGAAATGGATAGGTTTGTTACACGAAACAATAGGATCAAGCAGACGAAATTTTTTTAGCGATTATATTCAAGGACAACAAAAAAAGAAACAGAATTTTAAACTAAACTACGCTAAGAATCCGTTTACTTTAACAATATTCTATGATATTGCAACAAAAGTTCGAACCGTAACAGTGTCTAAGTAATCGTAATGTCTGAACAAACATTTCCACAAATACTGCAAATCATTACGTATTCACTGAAAACACAACAAACATGCAACATACATAGATTCGTACTTACTGCGGATTATATTGCAATAGCTCAAGCAAATACACGATGACGCTCCCAGCGTTTGCGTATGGATCATGTAGTGGTGGAGAGTATAAAGCGCCTGTGGCCACCACCTGAACCACACATTGTCGCACACGATCGCAGGCATGAGGAGTGCGGTAAGTACAAACGCGACGAAAGTGAAATTGTGTGTTTAGTCAATAATAGCTGTAATATTTGTTTGAGAAAAAGTGATAGGCGTGGACGTTTCGGAGCGCTTTGATGTAACATTAACTTGTAATTTACAGATAGCGATATTGTCGCTGGTAGCCGCTATTGCGGCAGAGGCGCCGTATCATCTGCCGCGGCCAGGAGCAAACGCGCCGTCACTCAACTATCCTATAAGACCTGCACCGCCGCCGCCACCACCGCCGCCACCACCACCGCCGCCACCACCACCGCCACCACCACCACCGCCGCCGCCGCCACGACCTTATAATCCTCCCCCGCCACCACCACCACCGCCGCCGCCGCCACGACCTTATAATCCTCCCCCGCCACCGCCTCAATACCCGCAACCTCCACAATACTATCCACCTCCATCACAATATCCCATTCCACAACCGCCCCCACCTCCGGCACATCAACATCATCATCATCCACCTCCTCCGCCGCCACAACCTCAGCCGGTACCGAATCCTCAAGACGGCTACCACTATCAACAACCAAATATAGCCCCAGCATTCGTACAGCCCGTGGCTCAACCTCTAGTTCAAACACAACCACAACCGCAGCCGATTTACCAACAACCACAACCGCAGCCGATTTACCAACAACCAGCTCCGGCACCGGCACCAACTCAACCAGTATACAGTCCGCCTGCACCTCAACCAGCATATCGTCCGCCTTCTTATCAACCTCCCGCTCCTCGACCTGTTTATAACCAACCCGCCCCTCCAGTACAACCAATTAGCTATCCACAGCCCATTCAGTACCGACAACCGAATCCACAGTACCAATTGCCCCAACAGCCTGCTCTACCCAGACCAGCTCCCTCCCCTCCTGTTAACCCAGCTCCGCAACCTCAACCAATTCCAATCCAACCGTATCAATCGAACCAATATCAACAGCAACAGTCAGGCTATTCTTACCAACAGCCACAGTTCGCAGAACAACAAAACCAGGTGACCTCACAATTGCCCCTCGAAACTCAACCTAGTGGCAGCGGCGGCTCACAAGTTTTGTCCAGCTACCAAGCCGATTCAAACCAATATAGCAGCGCTCAAAACCAAGAGCAGATACATCGAGATGCTCTGGATTCAGTGGTTGTTGGTCGTGTCCAAAATATAATCAAAGAGGACGAACATAATTCCGCAAGGAACGCAGGTTATCTTTCTCTGGTGTCCGGCGTGTCATTAGAGAGTGCAAAGCCGAGCATCGAAATTCTGTCTTTTGCTCACACCTCAGGACAGAATGCTCAAAGCTCAGGCTCCTCCTTCGCTCAGTCGTCGTCTTCATCATCCTCAGCGGTATCTCAAGACTATGGACTCCCGCTGGCTACGGACAGCCAGTCCTCGAATCAATTTGTTCAATCAAATACAAACGTCGGATTTTTGCCCGACACTAAGCCGGCAACGTCGTACGGCCCACCTAATTAAGAGTTTTAATACACAATTCAGATGTCACTGAATTGTACATAATTGTAAATATATTTTTTTCTAAATTTGTAAATAAAAAAATCCACAATGATAATTTATTTTATTTTTTCATAATATTTTCATGAATTGGTTGGTTTTCAATGATTTAAGTGAGTTAACAATCTTGAAATTTCATATATTATTAATTACTTAGAAAATCAAACTTCATTTTGAGTTGCAGTCTTCGCATGTAACATCACCGCAGTAAACTTTCAAAAAAGTTGGACGCGTGCTCTTTACGTATTCGTGCTAAAAGTAATATATGTTTGAAATTAAGTAGTTCACTACAATAATATATTTTGTATGTACTACGTATGTTGACTATACATATTATGGAAATGGCGAATCTGATTTAACTAGAGGTCCCGCAGTAGTCGAAGTCGACTATAATAATTAGTTGGAATTGTAAGTTTGTACACTATTATGATAGTATTTTATACTTCTATAATCACAAATTTCGCCAAGGCTACAGTGTAGCCTTAAAAAATGGTGTAAAAAAATATTAATAAATACAAACAATATTTAATCTATTCTCAATTTGACCACAGACGTCGAGAACAAAAGTTTGACAATAAATAGTATGCATGAGTGTGTGCGTCAAATACATGGTATGTAGTGTGTGTAATGTTTTCTTTATTGATTCAATGTATCTTTCATGCATTACTTTAAAAAAATATTAGCATTGTGCACTTCTTCTCTATATCTATATATTAATACGTGAAGCAAAAACTTTGTATCCCTTTTGACGAAAATTGCGCGGACGGAGGAGTATGGAATTTCCCACATATATAGAGAATATAGAGAAGAAGTGCACAATGCTAATATTTTTTTAAAATAACTTACTATTTATTGTCAAACTTTTGTTCTTGACGTCTGTTGTCAAATTGAGAATAGATTAAATATTGTTTGTCTTTATTGATATTTTTTTATAGTGTAGTTTTGGCGAAATTTGTGATTATAGAAGTATGAAATAATATCATAATAGTGTACAAACTTACAATTCCAATTAATTATAGTCGAAATTCGACTACTGTGGGACCTCTAGTTCTGTATAAGTGTGGAAAATTTCATACTCCTCCGTCCGCGCAATTTTCGTAAAAAGGGATACAAAGTTTTTGCTTCACGTATTAATATATAGATGTTTACGCACAAACACATATACGTACGTACCAGGTTTAATGAATAGTCGGAAGTTTGCGACATTTCGTCAGTAAACAAATCGAAAGGTTCTTTGTTTGTTCGAACAATTCCAAAGTTATTTGTTTCAAGGAAAACGTTTTCAGCGGCCGCGCACATATTTAATTTCGAAGGAGAACAGACATGAGATATTTGTATGGATTCATTTCTGTTCTGAAAATCGGAATTTGTCTTGTATAACAACTGATCTTAGTCGACCAACAGGAGAATATCTCCCCTGTGTGCTTCTGCCGTACCCTATGATATGTAGTAACGCGATTATGATTGGATAGGTTGAGAGGGACACTATTTTTCTAAGAAAGCACGTACGTCACATAAACCTGTGTTATCCATTAATTATAATAAATAATAATAATAATAAATTAATAATTAAAACCGTTTTTATTTCATACATACGTTGGTAGTTGATGATGGTAATAAATTCAGCTTATTCTGTACTTCATATCAGTAGGCTGTTTTAGAGTAGGTACCCATTCTTATCACGTAGCAGTCATGATGTCTGCTTTGTAGGTTGGAGGAGGAGGCCGTTATAAAACTTGAGAATTCGACCTTGTATCTCATTGCGGCGGTTTTTACATTTGTCAAGTCAATGGTCTCTGGTAAGTATTTAACGCTGGGGACGCTGTGAGATGTTACACTCATCCAGAGAAGGATAATGGGAGGAGACGGTCACGACCCTCAGACATGAGGAATGCGACTCAGGGAGAAGGATAGTCAGAATTTTATGTAAATTAAAGATAAGTGATAAGAACTAAAAAATGGTAATAGAATATAAACCAGCGATTTTTAGGATTGATTATTTGTCTCTTTATGTGTTCGCATACCTACATCTCTACTAAATGGATCTAATAAGATTTAGTTTGATAATTACATTTTAGAATTAGAAAAAGATTTGAAACAGCGCTTATGCTAAAACTGGATATTTCCAATAATAATAGAACAATAATAATAATAAACAAAAGTTTTGCCTTCCGTTGTGTAACTTTGCGTGAAATTTTGAGTATTTGTTACCTTGTCTCGATAAAATTTGTCACTTTTGTCTTTTTGACCGCCATTGACTGAACACTGGCAAAGTACATCACCAGGGGTAGCTTTAATATTCACAGGCGATTGTTCAAGTGAATCTTCAAAATTGGTAAATTTATTTTTATCCTGGAAAAAAAACTTGTTTCACAAAGTAGTTAAGGGACGATATTTTTAATGGTCACGAATTAGAACCAGAATATTGAAGGAAAAAAAATGCTATGAAACCACAACTTTACCAAATGTGTTACCATACAACCCAATTAGCCCATTATTTTCTAATAAGATAACGGGTGTCTATCGTTCGATTACTTTATTTCAAATATTATTTATTTATTTTTATTTATTTATTACACTTCATGTAAAATTTACATTGGCGGACTTAATGCCTAAGGCATTCTCTACCAGTCAACCAAAGGTAGTGCAGAGTGGATAGTGGTAGGTGCAATGAAATTTATATTAAGTTACAAAAAGTATATACATACATACACACATACATACATACATCTAATAGTTTATATAGTATTAAAAGGAATATATTAATAAATTTCCTTTACAAATAACTTCATCTTAATAAGTTCATGATGATTCCGCTAACTTTTCTAACAACATTCGTCGAACCCTTAACTTGAACGTGCAACGGTTAGTAACAGTCCTGATCGCTTTCAGTAAATATACTTTCAGTTGAAACAAAAAATATTTTCATTTAAAATCAATAAAAGAATACTAATAAGACATATAATAGGAAAATAAATTTATCTGTCTGTTACTTTTTCATAATATATAGATATAATTTGAATTCTGGAAAATAATATAAGCTGGCTTAATCCAACAGCCGAGCATGCGGTATAAAACGTTAAACCGGCAGACAAAACTGCGGGCGTAAAGCAAATTTTACAACATCTCAATTCATTACCTAAAGGAATTATTAGTATCAATAACTCATGAAAATACGTACAGATATTAACATTGGTTCCGTGGCATATTTATTCGAAGTTTTACGTGTTACCCCACTGTATTTATCTAAACAACAGCATAAAACATCTTTATTCTCATGTCCGTTAGATTTGTTTCCACATTTTATTATTTCTTTAGAATTTTGTTCACAGTGGCATTTGATTTCGACGCTCAATGTAGCTGGATCAAGGGGCTGGTAGACAGTGCGTAAGCTTGTTAGACTTTTAGATTTGTGCTTAATGGCCTTCGAAACATGCTGCTTTGTATGTTTGGTTGTATTCACTGGGCTAGAGAAGTTAAAAAATGTCCTTTAGTTTACCGAGATATTTTCTCAATTTAGTCATACTATAATGTTCATTGTTCTAGTGCCTATGAAAAATTCACGAAACTAAATTTGGTAACAATTAAAATTCTATTTTATTTTAATAGAAAATAAAGTGTCACTTTAGACTTGTTTAATTTTTTTTCTTTTTTTTTTGTTATTGCTTTGTTGGGTGGACGAGCTCACAGCCCACCTGGTGTTAAGTGGTTACTGGAGCCCATATACATCTTTATGGTAGGCTGCGACTTGGCTCTGCCCCTGGCATTGCTGACGTCCATGAGCGACGGTGACCACTTACCATCAGGTGGCCCGTAAGCTCGTCTGCCTACAAAGGCAATAAAAAAAAAACATCTACAACGCAAATGCGCCACCCACCTTGAGACATAAGTTCTAAGGTCTCATAAGTAGTTACAACGGCTGCCTCACCCTTCAAACCGAAACGCATCACTGCTTCACGGCAGAAATAAGCGGGGTGGTGGTACTTACCCGTGCGGACTCACAAGAGGTCTTACCACCAGTAATTACATAAATTATAATTTTGCGGGTTTGATTTTTATTACACGATGTTATTCCTTCATCGTGGAAGTCAATCGTGAACAGTTGTTGAGTACGTATTTCATTAGAAAAATTGGTACCCGCCTGAGATTCGAACACCGGTGCATCGCTCAACACGAGTGCACCGGACGTCTTATCCCTTAGGCCACGACAACTTCAAATTAGCTCATTTAGCAATACTTACGTTTGATGACATTCGGAGGGTTGAGAGGAGCAGCAACACTCTATGCTATTTTTTGGTCGTAAAATGTATTCAAAGCTGCCATTTGTTCTGGGGAAAAATTACGATAAGTTTACAAGTTTGCAGAGTAATAATATTAATGGTAATTTTTAAATGAAATTAACTTCTCTTGTCCATCACCACCGTCTTGGCTCAGAGAACGTCTTTTAGCTTGTAATCTAAAAAGGTTTCATGTTATTATTAATTGACCTAGACAGGCTTGTGAATTTTGTACGTTTCTTTTCTGAAATTTCAAACTCATAGTCAGAGGTGCATTAAGGTTGAGGTGGTGTCTGGACTCCGGTAAAGCTGGGTAAACGGTGTCGCCTCTACTAAAATACGTTCATTACGTTTTGGTAAAGGTCGGATCCGCTTTTAAATGATAGTTCCACAATCAATATTAAAAAAAAAAGATGATTTCAATTTCAAGTATCACAGAAAGTAATGTAATTTGAAATCGTTCTTTTTTATTTTTATTACTTAGATGGGTGGACGAGCTCTCAGCCCACCTGGTGTAAAGTGGTTACTGGAACCCATAGACATCTACAACGTAAATGCGCTACCCACCTTGAGTTATAAGTTCTAAGGTCTCAGTATAGTTACAACGGCTGCCCCACCCTTCAAACCGAAACGGATTACTGCTTCACGGCACAAATAGGCGGGGTAGTGGTACCTACCCGACTCACAAGAGGTCCTACCACCAGTACAGTATAAATGCATTTTGACTGAGTATACCTATTATTTGTCGGCAAAGTGTTAGCTTCAAAAGTCGATGTTTGTTTTAGTTTCATATGAAACGTGCTTCGATCCAAATTTTCTTTTAGATAATGTTCGTATTTGTTGTCCAACCAAGCCGAGAATTCAGGTAAATTATTTTCATAATCGAATCTCCGCCTGTTTCTTTGATTAATTGTACGTTCCTGACAAAATTTTAATTAAGTTATACAAACTTTTATTTAGCCAAATTGATTAACAAAAAAATGCTTCCCATATAAATTTTACATTACGAAACTTGATATTTTATTTTAATGTTCAAAGTTTGAGAATCAATAGTAATACGAGTAATTGTACTGAAATTATTAGATGTAATATCACAACAACGCAAATTGTGTTCTTCATTTAACTACTTTATTTAAAGTTCCGAACACTTAACACGCCCTTGTGGGCACAGGCCACTGTTTTAAAACCCGTGACCAACTGATTGATTCACCAATACAGATCCTAAGCCAATCGGGGCCTAGAACGAGAATTTTGGCAGTTGAAGGACTTTTGAAAATTTCATTGCTAAGGCATAAGCCGTTGTATGAAGTCCGTGATTTTCAGGAGTAATCTGCTTCTGGTTATAAAGAAATGTACATGTATATATCGATGCTTCTCAAACTTCTATCCCTAAGAGGGGGTTATTAAGGGTTGTAAACAACAAAGTCCACGGGGGTGAAGCTAATGAAAGTTAGTTAATATATTATTATATATTGTATACCTGGGTATACCATTGGAACGCTTTCACGAACCAATTCTTGTTTCTTCTTTCTTTTTTGTAGTGTTGACTGTTGAGCGGTTGAGGCTAGAATTTTGTTAAAATATTTATTGTATATTCGCTGATTCTTAAACAATATTACATGACGATTATATTAAACACACCCAGTGTTTATTCGATTTTTTACCTTTAGCACATTTTACGAGTTTTCCATGACTAAGAAAGACCAACTGTAGACATTATAAAATCTAGAGATAAACTCGAATTTGAACCTTAGAAATTTTATGGTCTTAAAGTATCGTTTATCCAGTTAGTATGTGTGAAACTTAAACCGTCAAATTAACGTTATCTTAATAGTCGTGAACGTAAATTGGAACTAACAATTTGAGCGTAATAAATAAATGGGTATTTCATGGCGTCGTAAACGGGGTTCGTCCAGTTTTGGCAAAAGTTATCCGCAAATTCCGATTCAGCAACATACTGATCAAAATCACAATCACATTCGCTTGAAGACGAGGAAAACATAGCAAAAATTTTGAAATGTTGTGAAATTTTGACGACAGGTTTCAATATCATAACTATATTAAGTGTATAATCTATGATCATAACTTCGTACGAGAAAAAACGCTCGTGAATCTGATTGTGACTGTTTATGACAATTCTATCCGTTTCTTTCTTTTCCGTTACATCCTTGACCTCTTCACATGTCGTCATGAAGTTAGATATGACATTTAAATGTTCAATGCCACAGACAATATAAACCATATTAATTTTATTCGACGGATATGAATGTTGTTTGCTAATATTATAGATTTATATTAAATTATAGCTAAAATAGCATGAAATCTTTGTGTGATCGATAAATAAGGAAATGAGTATGTATGTATTCACACTTCATTGTTGATAAATGCAATACAATAAAGTTGAAAATCACAGTATTTATAATACAAAAGTCACTATCGTTGTTAATGAAAATCGTAGCCAAACAATCGGTGATGGGAAAGCATCGGCGGTGACATCTTTTTTTTATTGCTTTTGTAATCAGACGAGCATACGGTCCACCTGATGGTAAGTGGTTACCGTCGCTCATAGACGTCAGCAATGCCAAGGGCAGAGCCGAGTCACTGCTTACCGTTTAATACTCTCCACAAGCCTCGTTTGAAGAAGGAAATATCATATCGCTCGGGAAGCACTGTGGAGGAGAGCTCATTCCAAAGCCGGATGGTACGTGGCAGAAAAGATCTCTGGAAACGCACTGGTGATGAACGTAGTGGCTCCAGTTAATATGGATGAACTCTACTCCGGCGGCGGGCGGTGAGATGGTAAAAACGAGATGTTGGTAACAGCCCAAGCAATCCCTCAGAGCACTCCTTGAAATTGCGGCGCTACGACAAAGGCTATGGCAAAAGCTTCATCTCATTGAATGCGTAAACCGTCTATCTGTAAAATATCCAGACTATTTCACCAATGTACTTGACTATAATAATTTACTTATTTCATATATCTGTTTTAGATTTTCTCATTTAGTATTTTTTTGTTAAATTTTGAAATTAAGCGCCTTAAGCGCCTTTGCAGAATTCTGTTTTTTTTTAATAAAAATTATTGACAATCAACTTGAAAGTATATCGAAATTATTAGGCTCATATTGATTTCATAACTTCTGAACCCGGATTATAAATGAATACAATATTGCGCATATTTCGTAATGATAAAGATAATACTGATGTCAAACACTGATTCTTGCAGCGAATTGAACTATCGAAATGTTTCTAAGAGTTAAATCACTATCTGTAACCCCGTTCTGTTGATCGGAAGCTCTGATTAAATTCGTCAAAACCTAGTGAGTGCTTAGCTAATATTAAAAAAAACATAAGAAAAATAACGCTATGCCCAATTGGGATATCTAAGTAAATAATATTTTAAAGGACATATTTTTATAATAATAAATAAAACATTAGTTTAACGGTATGCATGTGCAAATGTCATAAGAAAAAAATTAGTATTCCTGTAGAGTATCAAAAAATACAAGTGCAACTAGTAATAATCTAAGGATGAAACGTGACCATACGGATTTTCGTAAGCTAAATGATCCAAGGAAGATAGGCCACGGATTTAAAAGTAATGTTGTTAATTCATGCTGTAATATTATTACTTCAAAGCCATTTGGTGTCATTTACGTTCCTAAAAGATATCGGTAAGCATTTAAAATATTAATTATTGCTACTTTGTGTCCTTTATTTAAAGAGGAAGCGTAAAGTTTTTATTTTTATTTAATCATGTTATTTCGTTTAGTATTTTGCCGCCTGACAACGAGCAAATCTTTTTTATTTTTATTTTTTTATTTCTTAGATGAGTGGACGAGCTCACAGCCCACCTGGTGTGAAGTGGTTACTGGAGCCCATGGACATCTACAACGTAAATGCGCCACCCACCTTGAGATATAAGTTCTAAGATCTCAGTATAGTTACTCTCAGCCCAATTTTTTTAAATGGCTGCGTTCGTTGAGGAGATTATATTTCCAGGCCACTTCAATGAGGTCTTCGCCAGATGTTTAATAAGCATTACATTTCCTTATCCACAAGAGTCGTATTGTCGAAATTGATTGACAGTTTTGACGGCAGCACGCCACGTGATAATAAGATGATATAACAATATAAAATTACTAAACGTTACTCATTGCAAAAGAGCATCTGAAAAGCCTAGTCCTAAATTAAAAAAAAAACTATTTTTCTTTAAAAAAAAAAGTAGCGATGTCTTTTTCTTACTAGCTTACGATTTACTTTATTGAATATCAGAAATTCATATATGTTGTTAAATAGTTAAGCAAAGTTTTTATTGTGATTGTTGGCATTTATGGCACCCTAACTGTTAATTATTTAAAAACTGTGATTGTCTGTACACATATTTTACTATCTAAAAATCACGGACATTCTCTTGGGATAGTTTTTTGAACATTAACCTTTATTGCTGTCTCAAATATTAATTTGTGTATATTTATATAATTATAATGTTTGTCATGATTCATCAATGCGGAAGCTAAGGCGCTGGGACTTCATATTTGAAATTGTGTTAATGGAAGCCCCTTATATTGTAAGCGTCCGCTAAGGAAGTAATTTTGAAAATTTCACCGCTAAAATAAAAGCTGAACTGTTTTAAGTTCGTAATTTTCAAGAAGCATGAATTCATACACATCTCTTAGCGTTATAGCTTCGGTTAGAAATAAAAAAACTTATACTTTAAGGGTATTTATCACTTTTGAAGGAAAAAATCACGAAATTCAGTATTAAAGCGTCACATTTATTTATTTAAATTTAGGAAAAATTTATTGAATCCATATATTATTACTGTGATGTACTGTATCAGGCTGCTAGTCCAGTACATCATCAAAGTTCTCATCTATATATTAATACGTGAAGCAAAAACGTTGTATCCCTTTTTACGAAAATTGCAAAGACGGAGGAGTATGAAATTTTCCACACTTATAGAGAATATATAATAGAGAAGAAGTGCACAATGCTAATATTTTTTTAAAATAATGCATAAAATATACATTAAATCAATAAAGAAAACATTACACACACTACATACCATGTATTTGACGCACACACGCATGCATACTATTTATTTATTGTCAAGCTTTTGTTCTTGACGTCTGTGGCCAAATTGAGAATAGATTAAATATTTGTTGTCTTTATTAATATTTTTCTATAGTGTAGTCTTGGCGAAATGAATGTGATTTATGAAATAATCTTTGAAAGTAGAATCATAATAGTGTACACAAGCTTACAATTTCAATTAATTATAGTCGAATTTCGACTACTGCAGGACCACTAGTTTTTCATGAAATCTTTAGTGATCTAGAAATTTTTGTTATATCCTTAATTCTTTAGCACTAAACAAATTGAAGTTTTTTATATATTACATAGCACATAACTTTATGCGTTATGAGTTTTAGATATTTATTTACATGTTTCAGATAAGCGATGCAACGAAATCAAAAGAATTTCACCGAACGCACAGTATGAAGAGCAGCTAAAAATCATTTTCGGTATGACAAACACGCGAAATGAAACTAACATTACTGTTTCGTCCGAAGACCGTGCAAAATTTAATCGGAATAAATCTAAAGGTCAGAGACGTTCGCGAATAATTTCTGTGGTGGTTGGTGACTTCGTAAAACTGTTTTCTTGATTGGTCAAGGGCTTTGTTATTTACTGCAACGTGCGTAGGTTGCATTTCTTTTGACATTTAGAGGCTATTTCACAAGGGGCACGAGTGGATTTCGCAGTACATATGTAAGTACAATAATTGCGATTGGGATACCGTATTGACATTGCTTAATCGCGTTCAATGTTCAGTCATTAGAAAAGTCTTATTGGAAGTCGTCGTGGCCTAAAGGATAAGACGTCCAGTGCATTCGTATGTAGCGATGTACCGGTGTTCGAATTCCGCAGGCGGGTACCAATTTTTCTAATGAAATACGTACTTAACAAATGTTCACGATTGACTTCCACGGTGAAGGAATAACATCGTGTAATAAAAATCAAAGCCGCAAAATTATAGTTTGCGTAATTACTGGTGTTAGGACCTCTTATGAATCCGCACGGGTAGGTACCACCTCCCTGCCTATTTCAGCCGTGAAGCAGTAATGTGTTTCGGTTTGAAGGGTAGGGCAGCCGTTGTAACTATACTGAGACCTTAGAACTTATATCTCAAGGTAGGTGGCGCATTTACGTTGTAGATGTCTATTGCCTCCAGTAACCACTTTACACTAGGTGGGCTGTGAACTCATCAAACCATCTAAACAATAAAAAAAAAACGGTTTTATCACCAGTAATTTAAGTGAAAATATTCCTTAACGCTTTGATTGCCATATCGGTCACCTAAGCCCTACATGACGCACTGATATAACTATATCAATTTCTGTTACTGAGACACCGGAATATCTTATAGACTTTGAGACACACCAATCCAAAGATACAGAAAAATTTATCTATTTTTAAGAGACCTCAAAGACTGGAACATACATTAAAAACAAAAGAACTTTGTAACAGAAATCGATATAATTACTTCAGTGCGCCGCGTAGGGCACCGGTGACCTACAGGACAGTCAAAAGATTAAGATACTGAAGAAGAAACGCTGTGAGATGAATATAAAACCAACCAAACTTGAATTTGTAATTTGGGCGATCTGCAATAATATTAAACGTATTGCGAGTCCTCACGCGTGGATTCCGACGTCCTTCCTATTTCTGCCGCGAGCCAGTTCCACTTTCCGGCGTAAAAAGTAGGATACTTCGTATTCATGTCTCCAGAACCGTGTCAGCTTTAGTGTTGTGATACATGCGAGCTCTATTACTACTCAACACCAAGTGGGATGTGTGCTAATCGGGCAGATGCAAACCAAAAAGCATTATTTTAGTTATAACGATTTTAAGTTAATAATATCGAGGTGGAAATAGCACTGTATACGACGACTTAGAACAGAAAATAACCGCAAGAGTACTTCAACCGATGAAAATACTATAGTATCTTTTATTGTTTATTGCAATATCAATAAGCTGAATAGAATAATGGGTAGGTGGTTGTATGTAAATGAATATGTACTTACATGATTTATTTTTATACGACATTAAAATGAAATTTATGTGTTCTAACTACAGACAGTATAGAATTATTCGAAAAGACAATAATGGATTTACTTTATGGAGAAACATGGAAAGAAAAAGGTATGTTAAAACTTATGTTCAGTCTACGAGATTAAATAAATATATGTTTACATATTACGTAAGCAATCTCAGCGTAAATATTTTGGCCTATGACCTATGTCTCGCCTCGGATTTAATAAGGCTTGAGTTTATTATGGATGTAGTGCCTCGGGGAAGTTATGAGCTTTTGTAAGCACGTTTATGTCTTAAAGTAATAGTAATATTTAATTAAATTTTCATTAATGAAGTTGTTAAAGTAAAACCTATGTTTTCGCAAGTTCAAAGCGATAGGAAATTTCGTGTTAACGAAGTCTATTGATACTGCATTTTGAATGGTGTCTGTCCAAACTCATTCTCACTCAGACTTTTACAGTTGAATTATAAGACGGCGATACTCCCTCGGTACTGCACGTTGAAAAAAATATTTACTTATCGACATTTTTCCTCTGTCGAGGAAGCGATTATCAAAGTTTATCTCAATTACAAAAACTCTAACAACGAGTTGTTTTCTCATTTCTCAATAAACTAAAGTTAAATGTTCAGCTGAAGGGTACTCCTTCCAGAAGAAAGAAGTTGGATCGGATGGACAAGTTCATCACGATGCCTTATTGCAATACCCATCGGGCCAAGTGAGACGGTGAGTATTTTTCTTATTGTTTGTTGAATTGACTGATCGGCAGTGAAATGGTTACCGTGGAGTGGAGCCCATAGACATCAACACCGTAAGCGCTCCTACATTGGACGTACCAAACCTCACGTACCTTTTACTGGTGGTTAGAACCTCTTGTGAGTCCGCACGGGTAGGTACCACCGCTCTGCCCATTTCTGTCGTAAAGCAGTAAGGCATTTCGGTTTGAAGGGTGGGGCAGCCAACTATACTGAGACCTTAGAACTTATATCTTAAGGTGGGTGGCACATTTACGTTGTAAATGTCTATGGGATCCAGTAACCACTTAACACCAGTGGGCTGTGAGCTCGTCCACCCACCTAAGCAAAAAAATATATATAGTAAAGCTCTTTAAGCTGAAACGTATCACTGCTTCACGGTATATACAGACAGGGCGTAGGCACCTATGTGTATAGTTCCAGTTTTTTAAAGTTCTCGATAGCGTAAAAGTTAACTCAAATTTGTATGCAGTTGGAATAGCGTCCTTAGCGGCAAACGTTCCAACTTCGTAAAAATTTGAGTTAACTTTTACGCTATCGAGAACGTTAAAAAACCCGCACTAAGCACACTGACTTGGTATTGCATATTGCCCTATCAGCAGTGAAGTCATTAACTTCATATAAATCACTGACTTTTATATTTTTATTCCGAACGCCAGAGAAAGAAGAGATTACTTTTATAAGCCAACTAAGAACTCCGCTAATTGACACAATTTTACTGGTGGTAGGACCTCTTGTGAGTCCGCACGGGTAGGTACCACCGCCCTGCCTATTTCTGCCGTGAAGCAGTCGTGCGTTTCGGTTTGAAGGGTAGGGCAGCCGTTGTAACTATACTTGAGACCTTCGAACTTATATCTCAAGTGGGTGGCGCATTTACGTTGTAGATGTCTATGGGCTCCAGTAACCACTTAACACCAGGTGGGCTGTGAGCTCGTCCACCCAACTAAGCAATAAAAAAAAAAGGCTATTTAATGTAAATAAATTAAAAGGTTCATCGTCTTGTTTCAGTGCCGAATTATTCTTCAACAGAAGTGCGGTTCATCTCCCTCCATCTCACTTTACGCGAGCCGGCCAGAATATCCTCAAGATCACAAACGATTACATGCAGACTGCCGTGAATGCTTTCGCGATATTTGTCTATGGAAACGTCAACGATATTTACCGTTTGCCTCCAGATTATGTGCTCCGTTCTGTGAGTCAGAGTCGGAGTAGTGTTAATTGCAAAATAATTATTTAAACATTTTTATAAGAATGGCTGTATGTACGGACTTGGAATCGTTAAATTTACATAATAATTCGAAGAAGGTTTTAAGTAAAATAAAATTTGGAAAAGTTACTTGGAAAATTAGTAAATTCGAATTAGTAAAATCGTCAATCGTAGATGACTCAACGAATTTATAGAAGTCGGTTGCGTAAGCTAGTTTTTTTATTTTTTAGATGGGGGGATGAGCTCACAGCCCACCTAGTGTTAAGTGGTTACTGGAGCCCATAGACATCTATAGCATAAATGCGACACCCACCTATAAGTTCTAAGGTCTCAAGTATAGTAACAACGGCTGCCCCACCCTTCAAACCGAAACGCATTACTGCTTCACGACAGAAATAGGCGGGGTGGTGGTACTTACCCGTGCGTACAAGAGGTTCTACCACCAGTAATTACGCAAATAATAATTTTTGCGGGTTTGATTTTTATTGTATTGTAAGAAAAGCATAGGGTGCATGATGTCAATAGTTATAAATATTTTATTGACAGATAAGAGGGAGAAGAGGAAGAATAGAAGGATTATCATTTGGATAACATCAAAGCACCCCACGCTTTTTTACAATAAATATATTTTCTATTTTTTAGTTGGATTTTCTATAAAAGCGTGTTGGTTAGTATAAGTAGCATTATGTGTCATAAATTATGCATTTACATTAATCCAGGCAAATACACAGTTTCCAATTTGCTAAGTGTAAAAAAGAAGGCGCTGAAATGAGTTTGTTGCATTGACTGCCGAAAGTCTAACTGTTTAAAATATTAAATAGTCATCGGTGTCTTGTGAGTCCACACGGGTAGGTAACACCACCCTGCCGTGAAGCAGTAAAGCGTTTCGGTTTGAAGGGCGGGGCAGCCGTTGTAACTACACTGTGACCTTAGAATTTGTATTATTATCTCAATGTCGGTGGCGCATTTACGTAGTACATGTCTATGGACTCCAATGGTAACCACTTAACACCAGGTGGACTGCGAGCTCGTACACCCATCTAAGCAATAAAAAAAATAAAAAACTGACCCTAGCAAGAGCAGTGCTTCGCAGAATCTACCACCAGATCGGAAACGCAACCCACTGAGAAGATCAGGCGAGAAACTCAGTGGGCTGTGTCTATGGTTTAATTTACTCGACGAGCCCTTCGTCACAAGCGACGGGTTCGGCGAGAACGGTGACCGGTGCTTGAGGTACCTAAAAGCACCGTTAGTGGATCGGGAGGATCCGTAATGACGTGCTTAGGGCGACGTCGAATGTTTACCAATCGGTCCACAGGATAGGGTATGTTTGCAAGTCGTTTTTCATATCAAACCTTATACTTTTTCAGGCGCGAACTATAGCAATGCTACAGATACCGCTCGAAAAACTCGTTGCTACTTGGTATGTCGTTAAACAGGACCGGCCAACGTCGACTATTTCGTATCGCGATTTAGAATTGTACAGACCGCTGTTTAAGCACTTGAGCGGACGAGAAATGGCCAAATTGAACCTAAGCGATGAAAGGATTGTGTACTATATCGGTACACATTTGGATCTTAATAGACATCAAGTAAGAGTACAGTGTGCTTAGTGTGAGTTTTTTAACGTTCTCTATAGTGTAAAAGTTAGCCCAATTTTGTATGCAGTTGGAACAGTGCCCCTACCCAGGGACGTCTTAAACTAGGATGGGGCCCTTGGGCACACAAGAATTTGAGGCCCTTTTGGTAAGTAAAAAAGCGAATTATAATTTAAAAAAAAATACTGAGTATGACCATTTATTATACTTAATCAAATACAGTATATTAAAATATGTCATTAATGATATTAGAATTGATGACATTAGATAATAGAATTAGACTGGTTTTTTGGTTACGATTTCGATAACGGTCTATTATAGGCATAGTATATGTCTTGTAAATACCTTCTGATTACTGATTTGTGAAAAAAGTGTAATGTGCCCGACAAAAATGTTTTGAGAATAAACGTGTGAGAGAAATTGTCGGTCTTTCGGGGCCCCCTGAGAATGGGGGCCCTGGGCACGGGCCCCGTGTGCCCTTATGGTAAAGACGGTATTGCCCCTACCGGCAAAACGTAGGCAAACAATCCCATTCCATACATGAGCTAACTTTTAGGCTATCGAGAACGTTGTAAAACTCGCACTAAGCACACAGCTTTCAAATCTCTAATTTGAGGACGAGGTCACGACTAACTTGATGGTGAATAGTCACCGTCGTTCATGGACTTCAGCAATATCAGGGGAACAACGAGTCTGCTGCCTACCGCACAGGATTTTGGTCCGATCCTGTAGTAGATGCATTCGTGAAGTAGCTGCCCTAGATCCGTTAGGTCTTCTGAGGCGCTCGGGCAGCTGTTAGCAAATCCTACCCCTCCTGGCTGAGCCCGTGCTCGCCCAGCTATCCTGGTCAAACTGGAAAGGCTTCCAGATTACCAGTAATCCTTCCTTACTAAAAACAAATTAAAAGGATTTTGTCTAGACGAATGGTACGTGGTAAAAATAAACTCTGAAACCCGTATGTGGAAGAATGCAATGTTTCCAGGTATGTAGTTAGGTAATTCTTCGGTTGTGCCTGGTGGTAGACAGGCGACTGTCATCTTGAATAAATCAAGCATTCTTTTTCCGTTTTTGTTTATATACCTAATTGTTCTGCGATCAGGTCGGAGTCATAGCGAACCGCTACATAGAACTGAACCCAAATTGGACTAAGCCGAAATATTTGAACTTAATGAATAACCTTTTATGTGGAATAGCGCTTCCGCTGATGCGTGGTATACAAGAAACTACATATCTACAATTATCTAGTCAGGTTAGTTCTCAACGTTATTTAAGAATTAGTATTGACCTAAACAATGTATTTTCAATTAACCAAACGTATATAGCAAGTGCCAATGTATCTAAGGATACAGTCATATACGTTATAGGTATTTAATCTGTATTCACGAACGATCTCTATGACGAAGTAATAACACCGTCACAAAAGGCAAACCCGCAAAACGATATGCTAGCAGGACTTCTTGTAAGTACTTCGTACTGCCTTTTCTGCAGGAAAGCAATCTTGGATTCACATTAATTCACACAAACAATTTTAATGTGAAACGTATTTTTTTACACTTTTATAAAAGTTTATTTGCGTTTCGAAATGGTGGTTTTAGAAACAAAAATTATCGTTATTAATCAATCAGATTGTATTACATGTTAGATGACAAAAAACAGGTATTTTCCCACATACGAGCGTGTGACCCGCTACAAAAAAGATTTTACTTGGGAAAGATGACCAGAAGTCAGGTAGGTATTGACGGTGAGAAACAATATTACGATTGTTGTTTTAAGAAGTGATTTAAAAATTCAGAAGCAGAGAGCGGTCTGTCTGATAGTTCCAAACCTGATCCTGTGGACCGAATGGTAAACAGTCGACGTCGCCCTAAACACGTCATTACGGATCCTCCCGATCCATTAAGCACCGGTCACCGTCCTGGCCGAACCCGTCGTTTGCAACGAAGGGCTCGTCGAGTAAATTAACCCATAGACACAGCCCACTGAGTTTCTCCCCGGATCTTCTCAATGGGTTGCGTTTCCGATCCGGTGGTAGATTCTGCGAGGCACTGCTCTTGCTAGGGCCAGTGTTAGCAACACTCCGGTTTGCTCCGTGCCCCGTGAGCTCGCCTACACGTCAAGGAGAAGCTGAAATAGCCTCTCAAGGCTATCAGCATAGGTAGGAAAAAAAACAAAAAAACAGACTTTAGTTGTTTTTTTTTCTACCTAATTATTGGTAGTCTAAGGGGCTATCCCAATTTCGCGCGGATCGGCAGATGAGCTCATGGGCTCAAAAATGAGAAAATTGTTAACACTGGCTCTAGCAAGGGCAGTGCTTCGCATCACTTCTGCATCGAAATCGCGGCACACTGAGAAGATCTGGCGAGAAATTCAGTGGTTTAGTTCTGTGTTCTATACCGTATGTACTACATAAATATTCTTTTTTGAGATTACCCCGCCGAATTATTGTTTACCATCAGTATTAGATGTCAAACGTAAATTACGGAGAGTACTCGGCGGCAGGCAGCGATTTGGCTGTGCCCCTGGGATTGCTGACGTCCGTGAGTGACGGTAAACACTCCCTATCAGGCGGTCGTAAGCTCGTCTGTCTACCAAAGCCATTAAAAAAGATCCACAGTCGAAATCGAACTACCTGGTACCACTGTGTACGTTGATGTTGCCTTGTACCATCAGGCCTTCCGACTTGAGATATCTTTACACAGTTGACATTTCTTCAAGGAGATTGCTGATGCCCATACATGAAAGCCACAAAAAAGCTAAGCTTCCTAATACGGACGGTTCGATCTTATTTTGCTTTGTCAAAAAAATATCAAAGGAAAGTTGGTATGTAACTATTCAACATATACCATGGAGTTAATAAGTACCTACTAACTCTATGACATATACATATAAAAGCGCCTGGTTAAATTCAAGTAATCTAACGTTGAATGTAATTTTAGACACTCGTAAATTTTGTACAGGTGTATGGTAAATCGTATAGCTGGGGCGCCCGTGATGTGTCTCATTTAGGATTGCTGTTGATGGAGCTCGACGGGACGGATTTTAGTGCGATAAAACCTAAGGCGATGTCTGGTTTCACACCGCACGTAAGTTGAATACGACCGAACTGAGAAATCATTAGTACACTTAACCATCGACATCGTCAATCATGTAACGATGGAAAATGACGAGAGATCACCAATGGTTTCTATTTTTTTTCTCGTCGCTGGTCAGGAGAGCTCACGGCCAACCTGGTGGTAATTTGCTATCGGAGCATATTATTATGACGTCACAACGTAAGGTCTGTTGTCCTCTTGAGACTAGCTCGAAGAGTGAATCGCATACTATGTATAAGTATTTACGCAAATTGTAATTTTTGCGGCTTTGATCTTATTGCATGATGTTACATATTAATTTTGGAATTCATTCGTGAAGATGACTTAAGTACATATTTCAATTTTTAAAAAATCGGTATCTGCCTACGGGATTTGAACACCGACATGGTTCATCGCTCGATATGAGTAAACTGGGCGTATTAAATTTTAAGCCACGACGACTTCAAAACAGTCAGTTGACTTCGTATCAGCAATAAAGTTTCTTATTCATTTCACGAAAAATTTAATTCTTCAGAAGTGCCTACGTCATAATTTCTTACCAATTCCACATTCCATTCCAGGTACTGCAGGAGATGCCTGTTTCGACTCTGAAACACATAACAAAGGCACAAACCCGTTATTTGAGCCATAAATGTCAAATATTACTTGCCAAAAAACTGAAAATGTATGAAGAAGACCAACTTTTTACATTCAGTAGTGCTTCTTTTATAGCCATACCATTATATATTAACCTCATTTTAATTCTCTAATGACAAACGCTAATACATATATTATGTTTTATTTGTAAAGCGCTTTATAATGTCCAAAGCAGGAAAATGTAATGAATATCGTCCGTCTTCGTGACATTTAGATTCCAACTACAAAAGAAAATAGGTTAAAATCAATTAATTATCCTTGATGATTTTTTAGGATATAAATGGACAAACAGGCTCATAGACAACTTTGCTCTAGTCCATCTTGAACAAAGTAACAGAAATAAGGTTGTTGTTTCTAATTAAGTTTGAGATAACTAAGTCAACCTTTGAATTGACTTGAAGGCAGATTGCCGTTACCTACCTATACAGACCCACTACAAGCTTCAGCACCGGTCATCGTTCTCGTCGAACCCGTCGGTTGCGACGAAGGGCTCGGTGAGTAAACTAACCCACAGACACAGGCCCACTGAGTTTCTCGCCGGATCTTCTCAGTGGGTCGCGTTTCCGATCCGGTGGTAGATTCTGCGAAGCACTGTTCTTGCTAGGACCAGTGTTACCAACGCTCCCGGTTTGGGCCCCGTGAGCTCACCTGCTAGTTAAGGTTACGCTGAAATGGTCTCTCAAGACCATCAGCTTAAGTAGGCAAAAAAAACTTCAACACCAAATAAGATTAGAATGACGTCGGTTTGGAGCGTTTGACTATTCGGATTTACAAAAACAATAGTTTCTCAGATGGTTTGAACCTCTGTGTAATGGGAGGTTTGTTTCACTCTCTGTATTCAAATTATTTTAAATATAATCCACAGGTTGTTTCAATTTTATTCATTAGTGTTTACTTATATTCCGAAATCCTAGTCACTGTAATTATTTAACTGTAAATTAATTATCATTGAACATACCAATACACCACACCATTGAGTTTGTGTACATATACTTAAAGGATTTTGAAAAATATGTTTGTCGGTCATGGTTGTATCCTTAAAATGTATTTCATTATTAATAGATACAGATGATTTGTTATTCTGTTTGATCACTTGTGTATCTTCTGTAGGTATATCTTCATTTTTGGGCTCAGTAATGTTTATTTGATGTATGCTTGTTTCATTATTTTTAAGATCATTTAAATTTTGTACTGAGTTTTTGGCTGGCATAGTTTGTTGAGATTCTTCATAGATGTTAGATTGACATTCAGTAAAATTTCTGTAAAAAGAAAAATCGATGGTTTGTTTCGACAAATTGAAATGGATATGAAATATAATTTTAGTAAGTTGAAAAATATTTATATTTCATTACTTATTCCTCGGCAATAGAATAATATACTTCTTGTTATTGCCACAAAAACAAGCATTCGAGTTCTGTGGAACAGCAAGGATATATTCACAAACAACAAAATGGGAATTATGTTCTGTTAATACTTTTTCAACATTCATATTAGCTTTCGGTGTGTCTTGAAAAATAATTGCATTCAGATTAGTTTGGGAACCTTGCTCTATAACTGCTGTTGGATTGTTCGATAAACATTTACGTTCAAGGGGCTCCAAATTGGCTCTAGGGTCGTTAGTTACATACTCAATATTTGGCTTGTAATCTGCATTAACACTCTCTATACTAGATTTGTGATTAGGAAGGTCGGGCTTTCTGAGAATAAGACTAGTAGATGCCACTTTAAGATCTGTAATAGCTTCTTTATACGATTGGCCATTTGATGTATTTAAGCTGTTACATTTTTCCATTGTTTTTCCATGGTGTTCAACATTTTCTTCTTTATCGATTTCAAGTCCAGATGGTATTTGGAAGTTTTTATTGTTGTTAAAATTTTGTGATTTGTTTTTTCCAATGTTATATTCTTCATTTGCTAAATTGTCGTCTGTCATCAAGCTCTTGTTACTAATATTCATTAATTGTGTTGTAGACGTAGTTTTATCTTGAGTAGACATGTGGTCAATTATAGGTACTTCGGCAGCTTTATTTTTGTCGAGGTTTTTAATTGCTCCTAATTTGTTTACCTGATTCTTATTACAATTAGCCAGTATGAAACCCCTTTCAAAGGATTGTATGGGCAACTTAGAGTTTCTTTTCAATATATTTAAAACATCTCTTTTGTTATTTACACTGTTATTTTTAGCTAATAAACGTGATGCTGGATTTGCCCGTTTTAACTTCATTATTATTTTATTTTGATTTGGTTTCCCTGTATTGGTTCCATTTTTTAAGTTATTTAGATAAACCTTTGTTGTGTATTTACTATCGTTTATTATTTTGACCTACAATTTTACAAAACTTTATATATTGGGTATATGAACTTTGTATGGTCCTATGAGATTAAAAACTTACGTTCTGGTCAGAGTCAATCTTCCGTTCTTCACAGAGGTCATTTGAAATATAATTTTCTGTAAAAATAATAAGTTGAACTATATCTTCAGTAAAGAAAAAAAATTATTTAATCAGTCTTTTCTTTTAATATAGTTCTTAATAAATAATTTTATCTAAATCAATCTGGTGTTCTATACCTGTTTTTTTTTCAATACGACCATTTCTTCTTGCCTGACTTTTTTCCCAGGACCTAAAACACACAAAGTCGAATCTATCGCTTATTAATTCATTGCTTTAGCAGTAAACACTGGTTCCGATACTCATACCTCGATGCTTTAACTAGATATTTTTCATAACCAGTATCTACAAACGAGTCTCTTGGCTTCACAGCAACATAAGCAGCTCCATTGGATAGTCGCAGTGGGTTTTCTATTTTCTCTCCTTTTACCGTGTACAAATCAATCATTGAATATCTAAGTATATGATATGAAAAGTTACAACAATGAATTATTATTACACAACGTTCTTTTACCACAAAGAAGTTAATGGTTAATCGTGTTGGGTATGTATTTCCTTAGAAAAATGTATTCTTTGGGATTTAAGACCTGGCATAATAAAAGTGCTCAATATCATCATCTTCTGGTTCAGGCCATGATGCGTTTCAAATGCAACGGTCTCTCTGGACAAAGTGCAATGTCTAAAACGTTTCACTTCTCAATATTTCGATGCCTCCAATGAACACTACGCTAACTCCAAATTCGTAGATTTACAGGAGGAGCGTTTAAACGAAAAAAGTTGATAAAATCTTTATTATTGCAGATATATTTATGTTTTTTTTTTGTGTAGCTAGCTGATTTACTCTTGCTTCGAACCCCATCAGTAACGATTATATGTAATACTTTTTAAAATAGTGAAGCGATTTGCGTGAAAAACGAAAATTTCAAAATTTTCAGTTAGAGTAGTGTTCATATTTCAATATCAGTCTCCATACGTTATTGTGTATTTAATCGTTAGACTAGGTACTAAAAATTCTTCATGAAGCACGAAAATTATTAACGTATATAATTTTATTTACACGCGTACGTACAACTGTATAGTAATATTGTGTAACTTATATTGAAATGTCTCATAGAGTGCTATGTAATCTTAAGTAATCTTAGTCACACTTTAAAGTTTACAAATTGTATTCTTTGACTACTTCTATTTCGTCAATACATAATTACATAATCTAAATTTAGATTAAACTAGTTTTACTTACAAAGATCCATACTGTGATTTAGCTAAATACTTCAACGTAGTATTCCACCAGCTTAGATCATCGCTTTGGAGATGATATTTCCTGGGTGGCGTAAATTCTTGTCCGTTGTTGAATACAAAAATGTCGATCGTTTTCCAGTCGCTTTGACTGCAAGGAATTTTGGCTAGATTGGACATTATTAACCATGTCAAACCAAACCATGCAAATATCGTTAGTCGAATTAATTGTTCACTCGTAAATTTTAAATCAAGACAGTAATTTTAACTAATGGTCTAAAGGGTAAAGATGAATTTATTTTGAAGAATTAGTACGGTATGTAGACAATTCATTTACAGTTTTTTGAACATTAAGATAATTGCATAGATAATACACTTAATATTTATGCATAGCCTAGTATCTGTTTGCTTGGTAGAATATTATTAATTATTAAATACGACAGATGTGTCACAGTTTGTCAGACTCAAATTTTCTTTATACGAAGCAAAACTGGCATACAAAGGTTGATTAATATTTTAAGACGATTTCTAGGGCCATTGTTGCTTGGCTATTTCTAGGGCTTACCACCAACACCTGAAGTGATGACCACGACCACTCTGTCAAGAGCGATTTCGACAAAGAAGAAGAAGGGTCATTAAACACCAAAACATTAGTTTGAAGATTCAATAATATTGTAATAGTGCGTTTAGATAATAGGTACTCGTAGAATAATGTTGAGAAGGTTTTTTTATTGGCCTTGCAGGCCGACGAGCATACGGCCCACCTGATGGTGAATGGTTACCGTCGCCCATGGACTTCAGCAATGCCAGGGGCAGAGCCTACAGTTAAATTAAATAGAGAATTAAACAGGTGCGAAAAATTAAACATTATTATAATATAAATCGCTCATAAAAACTAAATGAGCTTATTAATAAGTATTCTGCATATTGATTGGTCTACTGACTTTGTTGTTTTCCCTAAAATTGTCGAGAGTCGCAACGAGTAAACTAAACATTTGTTATGTAATAGTTAAATTACATTATAATAAAACCCTCAGTCCTCGGCTTTTTTTCATTGTTCCGAGGTCAGTGATCGCCACACCCCCGCAAGGGTGGTAAACGTTCTTGACATTTGATTACCGAATAACGTTCGGCGCCGACCACGCAACGACGGCGATGACATTTATTTTTTTGCATTGGCTTTTTTTTGAGATTCACTTTTATTTTGGTTATAGTAACCTACGGCTGAACTATTGTTAAGTTAGTTTCTTGCCCAATTTGAGACATGACATAGTTTTATTATTGTTTCAATACGTCTTCGTATTAGATATACGTATTAGGTACGTACGTATTACGTATTAGGTACATATTAGAAAAAAACCACATTAAACCGTAAAAGTATTTTTAATTGCGTCTACGAGCCGCGAAAACTGAAGGAGTAAAATCATAAAATCATTACACTGGTTATTTAGTGGGTGATAAAGTTTACTCCTTTGTACTATTCTGCCATTAGTCAAAGGACATTAAACTTGTTCAATATTAACGTCTACAGCAGAATTTCTTTAATAAAATTTACTGTATTCAATTTGATCGAGAATATTTCTACAGCCCGAATCAGCCAGGAAAGTTCAATCATCATCATCATTCTTTCCTATTACCCTCTGCTGGGGTGTAGGACTCAAATCAAATTTTTCCATTTACATCCGTCTTGAGCAGTCTGTTCTAGCTCCTCCCACGTCATGCCCAAGACCCCTAGCTCCTGCTTCACCGAGCGACGCCAAGTTGTTCTGGGGCGGCCTCTCTTCCTCTTGCCAGACACTTTCCAGGTCAATGCTCTCTTTGATAGGTGGGTATCGGGCTTTTTCAAAATGTGACCAATCCAATGCCACGTCCGAAAGTTCAATGGTTAAATATTTTTTGAATCAATCTTAATACAGATTGATTGTTAGAACGAAAACATACCGTAAAATGGGGTAAATAGGGACAAAATCGACCTTCAGATTGAATTTTAAAATAGTTCCAATTAAATAGTCACTGCTCAACCAAAGAAATAAGTTGAGTCTTGAACGTACCTAGGTGATAAAAACCGTTACATAATTTTAATTATTAATTTTAAAGAAATAATCGGTAAAATAATGGCCGTCCCAATTTACCCAGCGTCCGGGGTAAATTGNTCAATTTAATTTGACGAATTTTTGGGACCAACTTAACTCATATTTAGTACTTCCATAGTTAACTTGGTTTTTCTTCTATACATTGATAAATATTAACATAAACAAAATTAGGTAGATTCCGTGCTACAGGTACTTTGAGAATCTTCCGCAGGTTTGTCCCAATTTACCCCAGGATCCCAATTTACCCCATGTCATGGTAGTTGATAAACGTAGGTGTTTTTAAGTGTATTAAAATATACCTTACACTTTTTTTCTAGATGAACCGATTTTCATGAGTATTTTTATCATCTTTTTTATTTTAAAGCCGGTGTTTCTCATGTGGTTCCATTTATGTTTTAATCAGTTTACTCTTTGACGTCTTATCATTAATAAAGCATATTTTAATGATATCGACTACATTATACGATGATCCTACCCGGTCACCGTCCTCGCCAAACCCGTCGCTTGCAAGTTCAGTTGCAACGAAGGGCTTGACGAGTAAATTAACCCACAGACACAGCCCACTGAGTTTCTCGCCGGATGTTCTCACTGGGTCGCGTTTCCGATCCGGTGGTAGATTCTGCGGAGCACTGCTCTTGGTAGGGCCAGTGTTAGTAACACTTCCGGTTTGAGCCCCGAGAGCTCACCTACACGCTAGGGTAAAGCTGAAATAGCCTCTCAAGATTATTGGCAGAGGTAGGAAAAAAATCGTCTCATTTTAATCTTTTTAAATCGGTTTTGTTTTTTATTAAATTTTTTTATTAATTATTGATGTCATAATGATGTAGCTGAAACAAAAACTTATGCAAATACAAGTTAAGAATCCAAAACGAAACAGGATACATACTTAATTGAATTTTTAATGCCTAATGGTCGCAGCAACGTTCTGGCCTTGCCACTGGCATGCCCCAAATTCCTCTCTCAGCAACACGATAGCCCCGCACCCGCACGGTGAATCCATGGATTGTTAAGATATTCGTCTCATGGTCAGTCTGTGTGCATAGCTGGAATTTGCGGGAAGACTACAGAAGTTTAATTCTACAAACCGTTAAAAATAGTAATGGCTACTCTACCTAGTTTCGGGCACCCGCGTCTTCTGATTAATAGAAGCTCCCCTGGCATAGAAGACTTATGAGATTTGAAAATGAAAATGAAAATCTCGTTTTTACCATCGCACCGCCCGCCACCGGAGTAGAGTTCATCCATACTACCTGGAGCCACTGCGGTCATCCACAGTGCGTTTCCAGAGATCTTTTTTGCTACGTACCATCCGGCTATGGAATGAGCTCCCCTCCACGGTGTTTCCCGAGTGCTATGACATGTTCTTCTTCAAACGAGGCTTGTGGAGAGTATTAAGCGGTAGGCAGCGGCTTGGCTCTGCCCCTGGCATTGCTGAAGTCCATGGGCGACGATAACCACTCACCATCAGGTGGGCCGTATGCCCGTCTGCCTACAAAGGCAAAAAAAAAAAAATGATAGGTAAAAAAAAATATCTTATAAACAGCGCGTTTAGTGATGAATTCTGTAACCAGTAAATAAATGACACCACAAATGGTACGTAAAGGAAAAATTTAAAGTTGTAAAAATGTTTTTACTACATTTTCGATTATAGAATGTATAAGTTAAGAACGAGATTTAATCGTGGAATTGTTTTTGTAATGATATATTTGCATTAATTTCCGCCATTAAACCCGTTATCTTGTTGTAGAGTGAATGATTACACAGTAACATTTTGTTGCAAGCAGCAGTAGACACCGTTGCGGTACGTCCGGGCCACCATATCGCGCATTTGCATACATTTTCACTTTCCTCCGGTCATATTCCAAGTCATTGACTATTACGATTTCTAAATTTTGCTCAAACATACTTTTACTTAACAACTCGATTGAATACGAAGTTTAATGTTAGAACAATAGAATTTTAATTGCAATAGCAAAATTAATACTTTATGTAATATTGTTGTGTCGATTTGAAAATTGTGAATATACAAAGATTTAAAAAAAAAATGAGTTTATTTAAAAAAAATTAAGCAATTGTGCTCACATCAATAAATAAGCAAGGAAAAATCAATAAAGCCAATTAAAAAAAAACAATTGGAAATAATTTCAAACTATGTTTATTTTTTTATTTGATTGCTTTTTGCCCAGTTTAAATATCAGGAATAATAACCAACGTGCTAAATTTGAATTCAATTTCTCGAAGCCTTAAAATATTTAATGTTTACAAAACAAATCTGAATTCATATCAAATATCTGCGTTTGTTACTTGGAAGCGTGTTGTTGCCACAAGTGAAGCTCTCTAACAGTACCGTTAATTTTATTTCTGTTATGACCCTGGTAATAAATACCCTATTGCTCGAAATATATTTTAAAATGGGTATTGAAAGAATCAGTAAGTAATATTTATTTATTTATTACACTTTATGTATATGAATACATTAGCGAACTTAATGCCTAAGGCATTTAGTTCTATAATCATAATGCCTAAGGCATTTAGTTCTAGGCATTATGTTCCTCTGCATTACCTTTGGTCGCCTAGTTAAGCGATAAATGGTAATGCAAAGGAAATAATTGTAGGTGTACATCTGTACATACCTTGATGCCGCCCTAGGCTCTGCTTATCGCGCCGCCGTTAATTGTTATTAATTAGATTCAATATTTGTATTTTAAATTAAAAATAACTTAATATAATTTTATTTATATGAAAATAAATCTGAACACATTTTCAAAGGAGATATTGAAAAAAAAAATTTCCGCCATCAAATCAAATCATGCCATGTATAATTTGAGTAGTTTAATCTTTTTTTGTAGAGTCGTGACTTATTTTTGTGAAGCGTCGAAAGTTGAAGTTTGAAGTCTGCGTCTTGCCACCGATGGGAGAGGGCCACCAATATCGAAATATACAATGCAGCAATTGATTTTTGCCATATCCATCGCCGTTATTATTCCAACTTGGCTTTAAATAGATAGATAGAATAGATTCCGGGAACGGCCGCCTTGCTACCGTCATCTAATGCTCATCTTTGTCTCCGTATCTTGTGCTTGTGCAACGAAGTCTGCGAGTATTGTCCCGACACGAAGACAATCCTCTTTATATAAGATGCATGTAAAATCAAAAGGAATTATTATATCACAAGTATGTAATCATATGTATTGTGCCGAATTATAATGTCGCAATAAAGTGTATGGGTATATCTAATTTCAATTGTTTTTCTTGCCTTCGAAGAGAGACAGGCACACAGAACACGGTGAGCTGTTATCGTCGTTTATCGAAATCTATACTAATATGTAATCTACAGTAGTTTTTACGGATGTTCCGTTATAACTACTGAACCTGTACTTAATGGATAGGCTAATATTTATATGAGTGTTGGACTCCCTACACCAGTTGCGGGGGCGTTAATGATGAGGATTTTTGTGGGGGTGAGAAATAATAACCAATGTTAATTTTAAATGCCCAGCGAAGCGGACGGGTACAGCTAGTCAGTAATAAATCTCGCACAGACTCTAACTACCGAATAAAAATTGAGAAATTATTTAAAGAATAACTTAACGCTCAGGAAAAAACGTCGAGGGCATAAATTTTGTACCGGTAAAGTAATTGATGTTCTTCTGTATCGACTTTCCCGTAATCTATGTGAGGTTGTAAGCTAATGAAACGCAGTCATGACCACGGCTAGGTGTGCCTATAATCACTGGTTAGTGTGCACGTGTGAAACCTGTCGCGGCACTTTTACTCGCGTGATCATCGTCAGACCTGTAATTATGGGCAAGAGTAATAAAAAACTAAACGCATACAGGAAACAAAATTAACCGAGACTTTCGTTTTAATTTGATAATCCATATATTCTATGTATATAACAATGAATTGCTGTTCGTTAGTCTCGCTAAAACTCGAGAACAGCTGGCCAGTTTGGTTAATTTTGGTCTTGAATCATTTGTGGAAGTCCAGAGAAGGTTTAAAAAGTAGATAAATATGAAAATGCTCGGAATTAAATACAAATAACAATTTTGTTTTTCCTTTGATGTGTGTTCGACGGGGAGTTGGACGGATTCCTTTTGTTTGTTATAAGTTTATTTTATATAAAAGTTTAGGTCTTTTATTTATCGATTGAGGCACTACGAAGTCTGCCGGGTCAGCTAGTTTTATATAAAAATCAATTTAGAAATTATTAATATACTACTTGATACTTCGAATGATACGCTGAAAAATCGAGTGAAATATATTATTATCGATTTAGTATTATCGATTCAGAATCCCTTTTTTAGTCTCGTCGGGAAAAAGTTAGTTTCTTATTTGTATTTAAGATTCGTTTGAGACATCAAAGCTTAATTATATGGTTATCGTTTTTTAAATCACTTAATGTATGAACGCGGTTATAGGCAACGGGAATCCATATACATTGGGATCAATCTCCGCAAAGTAAATGTAAATAAATGTAAATATTTATACAACGTAAACCACGCACTTGTTTTTCGGAATAAAGTAGATAATAAATTGCATTAATTTAATATGTTAAGACTTTACGCGTTGTGGTATTATAATTTTGATCTCATTCCGTACATTGTTTATAACAACTATTCGTAAATACTCAGTAGTTTGAAGGGTGGGGCAGCCGTTGTAACTTACTTGAGACCTAAGAGCTTATATCTCAAGGTGGGTGGCGCATTTACGTTGTGGATGTCTATGGGCTCCAGTAACCACTTAACATCAGGTGGGCTGTGAGCTCGTGCCCCCATGTAAGCAATAAAAAAAAAAAGTGTGTGTGTCCGCTCCGACGCACGACTGGAGTTTACTGGATATAAAAAATTAAACGAAACAATACGAGAAATAGTTCTATATTACGACAACACGATACACTACAGATTATTAACAAATTAACGAGACACAAAACAAACGACTAACAAATATATGAAAATACAATAATGAGAGAAACGCGCGATCAGTACGAGGCTTTGTGGCGGACTGCCGGCGCAGCAGCCCGGCGTCACCTGCGATAACGCGGCCGCGCGTTGGCTCCTGATTGGCGCGCGCACGCATCACGCAATCAGGAGCCAATCAGGCGCATAACGCATTTCGTGTGACATGCTAGTACGATTTTGGTCCCCATAATTTTCATACCCCGGGCCTATATATGTAAATCGATTCTAAAGGAGTAAACTCCAAAAAGGTAAAAAAGGATTTGTTTGTTTGTTTGTACTGAATAGGCTCCGAAACTACTGAACCGATTTGAAAAATTCTTTCAGTGTTTGAAAGCTACACTATTCCCGAGTGACATAGGCTATAATCTTTTTTGAAAAAATCCTTACTAATCCTTACTAAAACTTTTATAATGTAACTCCTATAATGTAAAAAAAATACCTAAAATATTATATACATCGCGTGCCCTGCGAAAACTATTGATGATAGAATAAAATAATGTACTACGACTTTGTAGAACACATAATTATTTACAAAAAGTGTCGCGACAGCATATTTCCAACTATTATAGTTATGCCGCAATAAGTGTTCTTTTATTTAAAAAGATAAAACAACGACAAATATCCTGAAATTTTTGTTGACCTGAGCGGAGCCGGAGCGGGCCGCTAGTCTTCATTATAAAGTCGCTGCAAATAATATTACTGAGATGCTTCGTCGACGATACGACAGTGGTCGTACATTCGTTAACAGATCTGAAGATGTTGGCTGATCGTTCAGGACGCGTTGCTTCATAGAATAGGAACTAAAAGGCAGGGGAGGCTAAATATACGTGCGTTCTATTTGCGTGGCGGACGCGCGTGCGCGTCGCGTCGCCGACGTTCACACAGTGGCGACTTAAACAGACAGTACACTTGATTGTATAGATCTAAAATGACGATGAGCAGATGAGCATACAACCCACCTGATCGTCAGTGACACCAGGGGCAAAGCCAAGCTATTTAGTAAAATTTACACTTTAATTACTTGAAAAACGTAAGATTCTATGTTATATTGATAAACAAAAAAATACAAATCGAAATATACTACTATAATTGTTGTTTGTCATTTAATTTTTTTCCATAGGACTTGTAGTTTTGCCGAAAATCGAGATAAACCGTTTTTTACCCTTAAAAACTTACCACCTCCCACTTCCCGACCTCAGATCACCCGTAAATTATTTTCCTTTCATTTTTGTTATATTCTCGTCCTTTCTTAACGGGTTTCATCCTACTATAATTTTTTTTCACTTTTTACCATTTTTAAAGGCTTCAGCCCTGGTCTAAGAGGAGATAAGCTGTGGTTTTGATTTTGAAATATATATTTCTTGGAAGATTATCACACTCTAGGGTCACATTGTTAAGTTTAGTTAATGTAAGTTCATTCTTAACGTATATTTATATGTTTTTAAATTTTATTAAACAAATTTATATTAAATACATTTCAAACTGGTAGTTGTTATTTAATCATATTGTTATGGTAAAGGGTAATTATGTAGTGTTAGCCTTGGCTAGAAGCTAAACAATTAATTGAATTACGCTGAGTACATGTAAATTATAATTGGTTTGTTTTATTAATGTTGCAACATTCAATGCTCTTTTGAAAATATATTAAATATTGGGTAATTAATTTCTTGAAAATTGTTTTTTATTTAAAACGAACGAACATTTCTAACTTTATGGTTTCGCTGTCACAATCTGCGTTTTTGTTGAACATTTACTCTGTGACAGTATTGTCTGTCCTTGTCACCGGCTTGCAATCCACCGTCCAGTATGCATTCGGCCTAGCCCGTGCCGATCCCAAAACAAAAAATAGTAGATACAATTTGTAAATTTTTGCTAAATTAAAAAAAACTAGATTTCAGTTCTTATTAATGAATGACCCTGAACACAAAATACCGCGACAGCTAGAAGTTACCTGGATATTGTATGAACTTTATTCTCTACGAATAGAAATGGTCTGAAATAGTTGAGTTTCTTGAAATGTAACATTGAATTAATTATTGTCGTTGATAGAGATAGTATGTTGTATGTAGTAGTATGTCGGAGCCGGGAGGGGGAACGCGGGTAGCGCCGGCAGTGAGTTCTCTCGCGGCGCGCCGCAGTCCGCGCGAGGAGCCTCCGTGTGTTGTACTCCCTCATCGTCGCGTCCTTAACCACGTTCCTCACCATTGTTTATTGTCCCACGCGTGCTCTCAGTAAAGCCTCTACAGCTGTTCCGTCGCAACCCATCACTGGGCTTGAATGTAAATGTGTGTTTTAAAATAAAAATAATATGTTTTGAGTGTTGTTTTGTGAGTGCTGTGAGTTTAAATGGAGGGCCCGACCGGTCCCTGAAGTCGGGAGTGCAGTGCGCGCGCCTTCGCTGAGTCTGTCTGAGTTTAGCTCGGCCATGGCGGCGACGGCTCGTCGCGAGATAGACACCGGCGAGGAGGATATCGCGGCTATAGCCAGGCAGATATCCGACCATGCCGAGGCTATCTATCAGACGTGGAAAGCGCGCGGCTTGGCGCCTTCTGAGATCCTCTCTTGCAGACCTACATCCGGCATCAAGCTGACCGACAACCTACGGACCAAACCCAAACCAGAACCTAAGCCAGACCTGAAGCAAAGACCAGAACTCAGACGGGATCATCGCCCGGATCCTACTCGTGAGAGGGCGAGGAGGGAACTGAGACAAGAGCAAAGATCCGAACCTGATGGCGAAATTATGGATATCACTTTGCCTCCAGATTTAGTGCCTGAACGCAATGGAACAGGAACGACTTTAGTTGGAGGTAGGCGCGCTGATGCCGCTGCCATGAGATTAGAAGTAGCGCGTGAGGAGGAAAGATTGTTGAGAGCTCTTCGTACAGGGGGAGTTGTTGCAGAACGTCCCGCAGAGAGACCAGACGTGGTTCCGCCGGTCTCTCTCGTTGATTACGCAAAGAGCCGCTATCAGGATAAACTGGAAACCGGTGCGAGGAAGCCGGCTGCAGGGGCTGGAGGAGAGAGACGTGCCTCGCTTGGTTCTCACGTGACCGAAGCTCGATCCAAGTTCGAAGCTCGCGCTCGCAGGGCCTCCAGCGCCGGCGCCGGTGAGCCGGTCTCCGCTGCGGGCACGACGCCCGTGCGACCGTTCCTCACGAGAGGATCTGTTGCTGAACGCGTGCTCATGTTCGAGAAATGCCCCAGCGAGGCTACTCTAGAGCTCGCCAAGAGGAAATCTCCAGCAGCAACGACATGGCGGGGACCGCACGACGTCATCAATAGAGCACAGGTACGTTTGTGAGATAGCTTGCTGCAGAATAAACATTTATGTGTACACATGGAAACACTTGTACTAACCGTGGGTTCGCAGTTCAAATACAATGTAAAATAAATAATTGTATTCGCCATTCGATAGGTCGCTTGTGCCCGCGTCACAGAAGACGCACACAAAGACGAGTGTTTGAGTCGAGCCGCGCCGCGGAGCTGTAAAATAGTAGACTTGTATATTTTATACGCCTGAAATATTTTGTGATTCAAGAATACGGTGACATCAGCCACGGTTTTTTCACGGAAACCTCTTGTAACGAATTGAGTTAATCGTAAAATTGTTTCTCCGGCCTTCACATAATTGAAAATTTAAGTTTTTTTGAAGACGTTTAAAAACTATTATTTTTTATTTAAAACTCGGATTTGTGGCCTTGTAGTGAAAACTGCGTAACAACACTAGACCACAAATCGATCCTGGAGCAGATACCAATTGTTTTCATTAATTAAACACACATATTTTTGTTTGGCTCGAACGATGACGGATTAACATTGTGTTCGATACAGTTGACTAAGTCTCATTGCAAACTGAAAAATGTTTAAATTTGCATAAATATTACGCTAAAAAGGCTCGTTGTCAGCACGTGAGATAAGTAAAATCATTTTGTCTATTTCATTGTGACATGATTTTTGGGAAGTTTTAACAACACGCTGTGTTTGTTCAATGAATGTATTGATTGAATACGGGGCGGAATGCTGATATAAATCAAGAGATATAACAAACTTGGGTCCGTTGAACTAACACGCTGTAACCTGTCGTTGCGTTCAATCATTCAGGACGCATTGCACCACTTCACAGTATATTGTACAATCTATTATAGAGTATACATAGAATTTTTGTCATACTGCCAATCTGAACATTCGAGTACCTATTGCATCGCTATAAGCACGTTTTAAACCTATTGTCTTGGGTTTTTGCGAGTCATCTGTATATTAATGCGTGAAATAAAAACTATGTACCCCTTTTTACGAAAATTGCGCGGACGGAGCACAATGAAATTTCCCACACTTATAGAAAATATAAAGATCAATTTATAAAAACACTACATACACTATCATTTATTTGACACACACACACGCATGCATACTATTTGTTAATTGTCAATTTTTTTTCTTATTTAATTGCAGTCTGTCAGTTATAGGCTGTGGTCAAATTGAGAATAGATTAAATATTGTTTTGTTTTTATTAATATTTTGTCTATAGTGTAGCGGCGAAATCTGTGATTAAAGACGTATAATAATAGTCTTTGACAATAGAATCATATTAGTTAACAAAGTTATAATTTCAACTAATTATAGTCGAATTTCGACTACCGGGGACCACTTGTTTGAGATAGAAAACTAAGCCTCAGTTGTAGACAGCGACGTCACTGTTGTCCTATGAGCTGTCCACTCTTTTGCTTTTGAAGATTTGACTGTGCTTTGCTAACTTGCCTAACTTTGCTAACGCCAATGAGAATCGGTCTTTAGACACAAATGAGCCGTACGCTGATCTAATTAAATTCAAAAGCAATAAATAAAGGCAATAGAATTACGTTTTTACTGGTGGTAGGACCTCTTGTGGGTCCGCACGGATAGGCACCACCACCCTGCCTATTTCTGCCGTGAAGCAGTAATGGGTTTCGGTTTGAAGGGTGGGGCAGCCGTTGTAACTATACTTGAGACCTTAGAACTTATATCTCAAGGTGGGTGGCGCATTTACCTTGTAGATGTCTATTGGCTCCAGTAACCACTTAACACCAGGTGGGCTGTGAGATCGTCCATCCGTGAGAAAAATAAAAAAACGTATTTCGTTTAAAATTGGAATACATTCAACTAATATAATTAGACATTAGATTTTAAATTAGTCTTCTGTAACTTTCCGCTGGATTCTATAATGTGACAATTAGGTAGTTTTAATTTTTTTTTCGTAAAAGCTATTCGAGTGAATACGCCCACTGTGTTATCTCTGTAAGACCAGTATCGATTTCAATGTTCATTATCCTTTTTGTTTTAAAAAACAAAGAAGCGATCTGTTTTGTTAGGAAAACAATAATTTACAACGAATATTCAATTCACGGGCCTTGAATAAAACAAACATTACATCAATGAAAATCTCGGAAAGTTAAAATGACTTCACCAAATGCGGTTTATTAAAACATTCTGTAATTCATTTTATAACGTTTTTATAATCTTTGAATTGGGGTCAGCTACCATTTGCGGTTGTCTTGTTTTCGGACTTCGAAAATAAATATTTAATTACAGCTAAATTCATTGCTAATGATATGACGTAAGGGTGTGTGTGTGTGTGTGTGTGTCTTCTACGCAATTAAATAATTATTAATGTAAGATCACCTTTATTCATTCTTCGCTATGAATATGCAAATGTAACGTGATTTTATTCAAAGGAATTTGTTGATTTCATTGCAATTAATGACCCCGACATTAAACGCTAGTTATTTTGAGGTTACTTTTCCCCGAGTTTTTTTATTTTTTTATTGCTTAGATGTGTGGACGAGCTCACAGCCCACCTGGTGTTAAGTGGTTACTGGAGCCCATAGACATCTACAACGTAAATGCGCCACACACCTTGAGATATAGTTCTAAGGTCTCAGTATTGTCACAACGGCTGCCCCACCCTTCAAACCGAAACGCATTACTGCTTCACGGCAGAAATAGGCGGGGTGGTGGTACCTACCCGTGCGGACTCACAAGAGGTCCTACCAGTAATGAAGTTGTTGATAAAATTTAACCTACACAATTTTCGAAGGTCTCAGGGGCGAAACATATTATTATGAAAGCAATACGATCCTTATAAAATACCTCACTAAACTCGATCGTGATTTGAATCGCACTTGAACTTTGACCTTGAAATTTGTGACCTCGTATTTAAAAAACTAAGATTTCGTTAACGCTTCATGGCGACGCGACGGGCTGCACGAAATTTCACGTTTTTCTGTTACTGTTATGTCGCGCGCGCGTAGAATCATAAACAGTTTAAAGCAGGATACGAATACTAGGTATTTGTGTCACGCAGCTTAGTGCAGTATGAACGTGTATAAACATTTCGGCCTCGATCTCTCTACAATCGGGCTCGGGATGTATTGGGATCATTGCTATTTTTACGAACAAATTACCTACCGAACGAACATAGTTATTTGGACACGCGTTCGCTTAAGACATGTGTTCGAATCGTACAGAGATTGTTCACCTCGTGAGACGTATCTACTACGGGCTAAGAAAAAAAAAATCGTTCCAAATTTAAAACTGGATGGAACGACGGGAATGACTTGGCTGACGCCCAGCGGCGCCCGATTAGAGCCGACCGACATCCGACTGCATCCGAGTGACGCCGAGGAAAATAAGTTGATATAATCTATATATATAAAAATGAATTTCTGTTCGTTAGTCTCGCTAAAACTCGAGAACGGCTGGACCGATTTGACTAATTTTGGTCTTGAATTATTTGTGGAAGTCCAGAGAAGGTTTAAAAGGTGAGAAAACAAAATAAAGCTCGGAATTATATAAAAACAAACAATTTTGTTTTTCCTTTGATGTGTCCCCTTGATGTGTCTTTTATTTATCGATTGGGGCACTACGAAGTCTGCCGGGTCAGCTAGTCTTATATATAAAATTCTCGTGTCACAATGTTAGTTACCATACTCCTCTGAAACGGTTTGACCGATTTTTATGAAATGTTATATGCACGTTCAGTAGGTCCGAAAATCGGCTACTATCTATTTTTCATACCCCTAAGTGATAAGGGTTGTCCACCCCTAACATTTATTTATTATTTTTTGGACAATATTTTTTTGTTATAATGAGGCATTATGTGGTTGAATTAGGTTTTGTTATTTTTATATTCCCTCATCGTTCACAGCGCTACATGCCTCTTTCACTCATTCACCACATCCTTACACATTTACAATAAGTTAGTTTTTTTTTTCTACACTAGAAATTCCCTACAAATCTTATATATATATATATATCATAAATCAACGTTTGCCGGGTCAGCCAGTAATATATACTAGAGGTCCCGCAGTAGTCGAAATTCGACTATAATTAATTGGAATTGTAAGTTTGTACACTATTATGATTGTATTTTATACTTCTATAATCTCAAATTTCACCAAGACTACACTATAAAAAATATGAACAAAGACTTAAAGAAGAAGAAATAATTTAATCTCAATTTGACAACAGATGTCAAGAACAAAAGTTTGACAATAAATAGTATGCATGCGTATGTGCGTCAAATACATGGTATGTAGTGTGTGTAATGTTTTTTTTATTGATTTAATGTATCTTTTACTCTCTCTTCGATCGGTTCCTCACTGCTGAGGATCGTGACTCCGTCCCATTTCGTCAACCAACTGTCTCCATCGAACCCGTCCTGCAGCCCGGTGGAGTGCATCGCTGATAGGTATCCCCAGTTCCTCCGCTATTTGGTCCGACCATCGTTTGGGACCTCTACCCCTAGGCCTTTTTCCCTCCATTTTACCGTATCTTTCGTTCGTATCTTTTACGCATTATTTTAAAAAAATATTAGCATTGTGCACTTCTTCTCTGTATTCTTTATAAGTGTGGAAAATTTCATACTCCTCCGTCTTTGCAATTTCCGTAAAAAGGGATACAACGTTTTTGCTTCACGTATTAATATATAGATATACGACCGACGCATTAAAAGCGTTGACTAGGCGAACGATTCGTTCGTTCGGACTCTTTAGAAACTAGCAACACCGCAATTTATAATTCGAAGGAAGCCAACGTTAAATTGAACGGAAGTGATTGTAAGAATTTATTCTCGACCGACCGACTGTAATGGCGTGCGAGAAATCACACGAAAAGTCATCGTACGTAATTGGAACGTGGTGGACGGTCGTGATGTAATCGTATCGTAAGACCCAAATATGTAGTTATAGTTCCATTATCACGCACATGCTAAGAACGATATGTTTTATAATAGCGTTATCGATTCTGACGGCT